AAAAAAGGGCTAAGGATGTAGTTCAGTGTGAAGGCCCCCAGGTTCAATTCCTGGTAAAACACACACACACACACACACACACACACACACACACAGAAAAGAAAAGAAAAAAAAAGCTCTTGGCAATGTCAAATATGAATTATACACTCACATTGAGCAACTGAAACTCTCCTACATGGCTGAGGGGATGTAAAATGGTCCAGTCATTGGCCTTTTCTAACAAAGTGAAAGTGGACTTCTCGTGTGACCCAGCAATCCCACTTCTAAGTGTTTAACCAGGTGAAACTTATGTTCACCCACAAACCCATCCACAAGCTGCTTTTTTCATAATAGCCCCAAACTGGAAGCAACTCAGATGTTCTGCAAAGGTGAATGGGTCAACACATGATGGTGCATCCAGAGAATGGACTACTACACAGTAATAAAAAGAAGCACACACTACAGTTCCATGAGGATCATGGATTCTTCTCAACTGCATTCCACGGAGAAAGAGAAGCCACACTGCCAAGGCCATGTGCTGTGCACTTCCATCTGTGTGAGGTTTAGGCAAAGCTTGTAGGGACAGAGTACATGGGTCAGGGGCTGTCGGGCACTAACGGTGTGGGTGGGTTGGAACACAGAGGACTTTTTCTTTCTTGAGGCTCGTGGATGTGTTGCATGTTGTATCTTGACTGTGGAGGGAGACATCTGACTCTCCGAATTTGCCACAACTCATGGGACTGTGGAATGGGCCAGGAACTATTATAGGAATCTGGGTAAGAGAATCCATGGTTTGGGCCAAGTGCCAACAGTGGAGCTGTCAGAAGGGGATTGATTGTGAAGCGTGAAACGAATGGGATTTGAGGTGGGTTGGATGTAGAGTGTAAAAGAAAGAGAAAGGTCAAGGATTGACCCACAGTTTCCTCCTGGGCAAATGGAAGGGAGTGGGGGGAAGGCGAGGTTAGAGATTCCATTCTCCACACTTCTCCCTGAGATGTGTATGGGACGTCCCGGCAGTGTGTATGGGCCTGAAAAAGGCTGAGAGGAGATACACACTGAGAGTCAAGGCTGTAAAACCAAGAGACAGGAAGAGCACCAGAGAGCATTGAGTTCTGGGGCCTTCTTGGGTCTACTGCTCCCATCTCTTGGAAATCCTTACAGGGTTAGTCTCTCCTTGTCCATGCAAATAGAGTGCATTGTTCATAAGTATAAACACTGTTGAGCACCTTGGATTTTCTACAGTTACCAACATAGCTTAGAAATTATTCCCAAGTGGTATTCAGCTTCTTTTTTCTTTTTAAGGGCTGTATAACTTCTGCTTTGTGGATATACCATGATCTCTTTCTTTTTCTAGTCAATTTTTTATTTTTTGTTTGTTTGTTTGTTTGAGATGCTTGGGAGAGTCCAGGGCCTCATGCATGGTAAGCATGCTGTGGTGGATTAACTAATGGTCAACTTGGAATGCCCAGCTGAACTGAATCAGCGTGGTTCTGGGCGTGGAAGACCCACCTGAGGATAGTGGCTAATGGCATAAAAGGAGAACTGAAGGGGAAGATGGAATGCTGTTGACTTTCCAGAGAAGCTTGCCTCGGCTGGTTTTCCTGTTCTCATCGGAGGAGCTCAGGTCCTCGCTGTGGCTGGGAATGGCTGCTGTTCTTGTCAGGGGAGCTCTGGTCCTTACCTTGAGTGTTGCTTCCTGGCTCCAGTGCAGATGCCTCAGCCTGGTGGCACAAATACTTCACCCTGCACGCACAGGCTTTCTGGTTTCCACCACTGGCTTTTGGGGCTTCCGGGTGCAGATCCTCGAAATGGACTTGGATGGGACATTGCCTTGGGCTCTAGGACTCTGGCTGGACTTGTGCGGGACATTGCTGTGGGATCCAGGCCCTTGGCTGGATTCTTCAGGTCTCTAGTGTGTGGACAGATCTCTTACACTCCTCTGCATTTGATTTTTGGGTGACTATTATAAAATAATCCTATAAATTATGTGTTCTGTATTAAAGCTATTCCTTTGTAAACCCTGAATACAACACATGCACTTTACCAAGTTTTTATTAGGGAAAAGTTGAAACACAAGGGAAAAGTAGACAATAATACAATGAACCTGCCAGACCCGTCGTTCAACTCCAACAATGATCAGCCCACAGCCAATCTTGTTTCATCTAGATAGCTACACGTGCCCCTTCTTTTAAATAATTTTTTTGTTTTTGAGACAGGGACTCAGTATGCAGCCCAGGCTGGCTTTGAATTTACGGCAATCCTGCCTCAGCATCCCAAGTGCTTGGATTACAGGTGTGCACCACCATGCCCAGCTAAATGATGATTTTTTGTTAGCTTTTGATCATGAGATAATTTCAAACTTATCATAATGACTCTTCTTTTTATGATAGGGTCTCACTATACAGTCCAGGCTGGCCTTGAACCCACTATGTAGCCCAGGCTGTCCTCAAACTCAAAATTCTTCTGCCTCAGCCTTCCAAGTGCTGGAATTATGGATGTGTACCACCACGCCCAGCTTCATAACCTTTTAAAATATTTTATTTAGTTAGCTAATATTTTGAAAAACATTTTACTAGTACATGTTTGCAGTACATAATTTTTACATTCATCCTAGGGAGTAGATACACAGACTTAGCCTATCTTAATTTTTTTATTCCCATTTCTCCTCTCCTCCTTCCATCTCTAAATTCCCTTCCCATTTGTAAATGATCTATTGCCCTGTTTTCTATTGTCTGTCTTTTATTTTGTTTTTTGAAATTATTTATATGTTGGATTTCTCATATAAGAGAAGTTATCCAATATCTAAGATTGTGTATTTGATTTATTTCACTTAACATTATGGTCTCAAGGAGCATCCATTTTCCCACATATGATTCAACTTTATCCTTCTTTATGGCAGAGTAGTACTCCATTGGGTGTAAACACATTTTCTTCATTTGTCTGTTGATGGACATATAAGCTGCTTCTAAGATTTAGCTATTATGAGTTGTACTGTATCACTGTAATATGATGTCTTTAACTCTTTTTTTTTTTTGGTACCAGGGATCGAATTCAGGTCCTTGCGCTTTCGAGGCAGGTGGTGGAACCACTGAGCTAAATCCCCAGCCCGATGTCTTTAACTCTTTTGAGAAGATACTTAGGGTAATAGTTGGGTTGAACGGAATTTTTAGTTTTAATTTTTTGAGGAATCTCCACATTGATATCCATAGTGGTTATGCTGTTTGGCATTCCCACCAGGAATGTAGAAGTGCTCCTTTTTGCCTGCAGCCTCACTAGCACTTGTTATTATTTGATTTCTTGATGGTAGCCATTCTTTCTGGGGTAAAATGGAATCTCTATAATGACCTTGTAAGAACACTTACTTTGTTTAATATGTTTATTTACAATGTCTCTATACAGAACAGAAAAGAAACACTCTGTTCTAGAGCATGCCTTTTTGCAAGGTCACTTTGCTCAGGGCTGGACAGGACAAGTAGCTGAGTCCCAGATGGTTTGCATTAGTCTGGTCCTATGGCCCTGGGCTGGCTGTACTAGATCCCACTCAAGCAGAGGCACCTGGGTGATGTCACAACACAAATCTCAGCAATGTTTTCTTTTCTTTTTTTTTTTGGTACCGGGGATTGAACTCAGGTCCTTGGGCTTGTGAGGGAGGAGGCAGAACCACTGAGCTAAATCCCCAGCCCAATATTTACATTTTTAAATTTAAATTTTGCAGTATAGGGAATTGAATCTGGGGCTTCAGGCATGCTAGATAAGTACTCTACCAATGAGCTACATCCCCAGCCCCTCTGGCCTTTTATTAATTTTAGGACTAATCCCATTGTAACAGCCCTACTTTTGTGATGTCATCTAATCTTAATTACCTTTCTAAGGCCCCACCTCCAAATGCCATCAATCCCACTGGGAATCAGGGCTTCAACAGGTGAAGTTGGGGGGACCAAATTCAGTCCATAACAGGGACCCCAGTGCAGATCCTGGACATCAGAGAGCACTTCGCAAAAATGTTTGGCCTGGCTCATCTCAGAGAGCAAACTGGCTGTCAAGTACAAGTCAGTAAATTTGACCTTTGGCCACCAGTGTTTAAATTAAAAGTTAAATTAGTTGCCAATGTGCAAAAGGTGAGATTTCATATGGAAACCTTTTCTCTTGAAAAAACTGGAAAGATCAGAAAATGCTGGTTAGCATGCTTGCCTGGTAACTGGTGGCTGGGGCTTCGTGGTGTCTTCTTTCTTTACAGAGGACAGACATGTCCCTGTCCTGGGCATCACAGACCCAGGTGACTTCTCTACTTTGAGCTCCCTGCCTGGCCAGAGCAGACATCTAGGTTTGTAGGTGACCTGATTACTGAGTGTGGATGGTGATTTTTCTTGTGATTCTAAACACTTGAGATGGACTCTGATGAGAGTTGTGGGCTCCAGTACCCTTTACACACAGCTAGGGGCCCAGCCCTTCCTGAGACCAGGCTACAGCACCCAGGGTGAGCACTCCTGAGTCAGAGGTGATACTCTCCTTTCCATCTTCCACCAGTCTCTCCCAGAATTCGCCACGGCTGGCTCTTCATCACTGGAACCTTACACTGAGAGTTAGCTATCCCCCCGACCCGCGCCGTGCTCAAATCCTTTTATCTCTGCTTTTTTTTTCTTCTTGTTTGTTTTGTTTTTTGAGACAAGGTCTTGCTAAGTCGCCCGGGCTGTCCCGAAAGCATACTAGCCTCCTGCCTCAGCCTCTCAAGTAGCTGGGATTGCAGGCTGTATGTGGGCTTAGATACTCATGGAATGGCCTAATCCTCCTGCATGTGGCCTGATTTCTCTTGATTCCTATGATATCCCGAGGACACAGGGTCTCAGCGCTTTAATTAGGTAGGCAGTGGCAAGTAAGCAGCAGGCATTCCACAAGAACTGTTTGAAATGAAGGAAGGACGGAGGCGTCGCCCAATCTGGGCTCCCCCAGATTTTAAGTGGGCGGAGCTAGGGGAGCGAGCGGAGACGCGCCCCTGGGGCACCTGCTGCGCGCGTGCCCGCGGGGGGTGGGGGCGGAAGCTTTGAGGCCGGAACGGGTGCGCCGGGATCGGGAGGTGGGGGGGCCGCTTATCGCGTCGGACAGCGGCCCAGGAAAGCTAGGGGCGGGCGAGCCAGGGGCGGATGGCATGGCCGGCCGGCGGGTGAACGTGAACGTGGGCGTGCTGGGCCACATCGACAGCGGCAAGACGGCGCTGGCCCGAGCGCTGAGCACCACGGCGTCCACCGCCGCCTTCGACAAGCAGCCGCAGAGCCGCGAGCGCGGCATCACGCTGGACCTGGGCTTCTCGTGCTTTGCGGTGCCGCTGCCCAGCGCGGCCGAGCCTGGTGAGGCGCTGCTGCAGGTCACGCTGGTGGACTGCCCAGGGCACGCCTCGCTCATCCGGACCATCATCGGCGGTGAGCGGGCCGGGTGGGCGGTCGGGTGGGACCGAACCTCACCGGCACCGAGGGCACGCGCGGTGCCGCCGCCTTCAGAAACAGGCGCGCGCGTCACGCGCACGAACAAGGCGGAGACGCCAGCCCGCGCACGGGCTCTCGGGAAAGTCGCACAGAAGCCACCACACTCCGTCCTCCTGCTTTCCATGCCCAACACGCCCCAGGTTCCTGTGTAACCTTTCAGAAAAACTCCGTGGAAACACAAGCATGTCGGTGTTTGTATACAACCTTCTTTTCTTTTTCCGTGTATAAATCATTTCAGTCCCCGTCAGAAGAGGTCCTGGTATCGGTGCATGCAAAACGCCATGGTTCTTTTTAAAGCTCCCTTAGAGTTCTGTCGTAAACTCCACCCAACAATTTCTCAACTAATCTCTCTGGTTCTGTTTTTTACCATACTAGGGCCTTTGCACTGAGCTATATCTCCAGAGCTCTTTAAAATTAAAAATTTTTTTTAGATAGGCTGGGTCTTGGCAGTCCTCCTGCCTCATCCTCCCAGAGTGCTGGGATTACAGGCATATGCCACCATGCCTGGCCTTAACTAATACCTTAAAGATGGACCTTTCTGTTACCAGGTAGTTTGCTTCTAAAAAGTGACTCACCAAACTAAACCTTACCGCGTTCGGAGTTGCTCCCTCTACTTCGAGTTGAAATCCAGGTTCTCTTTTAGAAGAAAGAATTGAACGAAATGAGCAAAAAGCAGTGGCAAAGTTTGAGAAAGTAAAAGTGAAGAGTGATAGAGAAACAGGCTCTGCAGAGCAATCTTGGGCAGAGTAAAAGGAGAAAAAGAGGGAGAACAAAGATAAAAGCACACGCTACGATGGGAAACACAGCGTGCATCGGCTCTTCATGGCTACCTTTTATGCTGTCCAGATTTTGAGATCTCGGAGAACTTCTACATCCGGGTCTTGAGAGGCGGTGCTGGGATCCCAGCCTCAGGTGAGGTTAGATCTAGGCCATCCTCTGAGAAGCCCACCTGCAGGGGTTTGGGAACTGTTCTGCGCCTGTGTCGGGGATCTTGTAATTAGCAGGTCACGTCCACTTACCCAGTCACCTTTTGCCATGCCCTAATCTCCCACCACATTTCTACCCCAGTGTTTCCTAGCTATGCTGCAGGGGATATTGGAGATCACAAGTCTTTGACTTGTGGACTTGGTTACTATATATCAGCAGGGTTAGCTGGAACTGACCTGTCTGGGGTTAACAGTGTGTGTATTTTCAATCATTATGGGTACCGATAAAATACCCTCCTGAGATGTTGTGCCATTTAATGAATTTTTATTGTTGTTTACAGAAAATACAAAAATACATGTTCCTTACAAAGAGGTGGAAAATTACAAATAAGGCAAAAGTCCTCTTTTGTCAATTCTGGATCCCTCTTATCTCTTCAAGCAATACCACTGCAATATGTTTGTAGATTCCTTTTCCAGACTCATTTAAGGACACTTGAGGGGAAAGGCTCTAAAACTTGTTTTGTTTGTAGGAAAGAATGATATGATAATATAAACTGCTGGCACAAAGGGATGTATAGAGTAAAGGAGTCTGCTTGCTGCTGACCCCAGTGCTGGGTTCCCTGCCCCTTTCCATCTCCTTGTTTGGCCTGGCATGGGTGTTCTGTATGGCTGCAAGCACCCACTGGCACACGCGGGACAGATGATTATTGGTCAAGTAGCAGGTGGTCTCATAGGTTCCTGGGCTTTCTGGGTCCCAGCTAGAATGGTGAGTTTGTTGCTTTGATTTTGGTTCCCTCCTACACTCCATCCTCAGGGAGTCTGGATCCCTTCCCCATTTTATTGTGGCAATGGAGGCTTGAAGCAGTGATGAAACTTTCTTGGCTGTCTAAAGTCCTATCTAAAATCTTCTATTCAGTCCATGTTTCACTCATTAGAAAATGAGTATTAAGGGGCATATGATTTTCTACCTCTGCCCCTTTGGTTTTTTTGAAACAGGGTCTCACTATGTAGTTTAGGTTGGTTTTGAACTCACTGTGTAGCCCAGGCTCGCCTCAAACTTGTGACGATCCTCTTGCTTCAGCCTCCCAAGTCCTGGGATGACAGGCATGTGTGTGCCACCATGCCAGTTCCCCTCTCCTTATAATTGAATTTTTTCTGGTTGTACTCGAATATGTTATAGGACATGTATACTCTAAGCCAGTATACATTAGAAATGGAAGACAGGTTTTAAAAGAGAAGGCACATTCTCCATTCTTTCTAGTGAATACAGAGAGAATTTGATTTATAGTAGCTCAGCTATGATTTTTCAACTTTATGAAGGTATGAAAATGATAGATTCAGTAGAAACCGTACTTGGAACTTTGATCTTTTCTGGGCTGGAGGTATGTGGCAGATTCTCACGATGCTGGGCAGTGGTAGTGAGCTGCCATTTGCTGTGTGCTAGGAGATTATAAAGGAACAGGCAGCGCTCTGTGGTGACATTGTTGCTCAGTGGTGGTCTTTGGTAGGTTCAGTGGATGAAGATCATGTCCACACAGTGACCTTTCAACCTGGATGTCTTTATTGGTAGACAGCCTTTTATGAGTAGAGGAGCACTTGTAATTTAGGCCAGTGGTAAAGGACCGATATTTGGCATCAAGCCGATCTGGGCATGGATCTTGGCTTTCTTCTTTACCGTCTGTGTGACCTTTGAACCTAACTCTGAACCTCCCATTGCTGGGAGATATGAGAACCATACAGGCATTTATTGACTTTTCTCGGATGTTTGCTACTTCCCAGGTAAACCCTGTGAGGAATATGGTGGTTTCCACATAACAGTTGAGGAAGTGGAGACTCAGGGAGGTAGCTGGTCAGTGGCCAGGTCCAGGTCTGGCTGACCCCTAGGCCAGAGCCCTTTCCACGCTTGTGCTACCCTTTTCGGTATACATACAGAGAAGCCTTTCATGGGACCAAAAGTTTTCGGTATTGGCCTGATTCTATAACCAAATGTTATAGACCCTAACCCCAAACAATTAGGCAAGTCCTTGGTTTATAAAACCTTAGAAGAATTTTTCTTTTCTTTTATATATATAGTTGTACTTATTGCTTTACTTTCACATCCTGCAGAGACATTGCACATCTTCTTACAGGCATCAAAGTGTGGCCTGAGTACATTGCGAAGGTGAGACCAACACAGCTACCATTCTTCCTTTAGGTCCCACCTTCCTGGGTAATGAGAGTTTATTTTCCATTTGAATGGAAGAGTGCTCCCGTTTGAGCATTTGCTCTGTCTCAGCCTGCTGCTGGGACTTACATATATGTGATAGCCTATGTGTTAGGAGTATTAGCCTGCTTTTCAGATGCTTGGCAGGTAGAGTACATGGGCTGGTGTTGGAACCAACTCTGCTGCCCCTGAAGTGGGACCAGTGAAGACCCTTAGCTGTCCTTGTGAGCCATAAGTCACGGACATTCTTGATGTGCCAGATCTTGGTGTTTTATTTTGAGACAGGGTCTAGCTATGTAGTTCAGGCTGGCCTTGAGCTCACTATGTAGTTCAGGCTGGCCTTGAACTCATGGGGATCCTCCTGCCTCTGCCTCCCAATTGCTGGGATTACAGGTGTGCCCGAAATGCCCTGTGGGGCATGTGTGGCGAGATCTAAATTTAAGGCACCTGTACTCCTGCCTTCCTGGACCCAGCCTGCTCGGCCTCTTCCTATCTGCTTTATTCTCAGTGTAGTCAGCAGTGTACTCCCTTTAGAGATGTGTGTCAAGACTTCAAGACTCTTCAGTGGTTGCCACAGGACATGGAGGAAGAGCCAGTTTCATCATTAGGCCCACAGGACCTGCAGTCTGGCTCTCCCTCCCTCTGAGCCTCATCAGCCACTGCTTTCCCTGGCTTCCCACCTTCAGTCATTGGCTTCCTTTCTACTCCTGAAGTAGGCTGAACCACTGCTTCCCTCTGCACCTTTGGTGGCCTCTGTGCAGTATGTTTGCCTCCTGATCATTATGCCTTGGCCTGAATGTCCCCTTCAGAGGGGCCTTCCCCACCCACACCTCCTCAAACTCTCTCCTGTTCCTGTGTCTTTTCCCAGACATCACCATTGGGTGCTGTTTATGTGTTCACTCGCCTGTTGTCTCTTCCATGCTAGAAAGGGGTGCTGTGAGAGCTGAGTGGAACCCTTGTCCGCTTTAGTCACTGGTGTGTTTGCAGTGCTTGGGCCAGAGCCTGGCATGGCTGGGCAGTCAGTGAGATCCCAAGGCTGTGTTCCAACTGCTGGGCTCGCTGCTTACAGTGTGCACAGAACTCTCTTCTAGGACAGAAAGCAGCCAGCACAGGGCCTGGCCTGTCGTGAGTGCCCAGTGTGTTGGCTCCTGCTGTTCCCCACCAGGAGCTACATAGGGGTGGGAATGGGAGAGTGCATTGTGTACAAGCCAGCTGCTGGGGTTCTGTGCAAAGGCAGCAGCAACTCACTTTGCTGAGGGCTGGGGTGTGGGCAACAGTGGGGACAGAAGAGCTCTCCTGGGACAGGGAACCTTCAGGCAGCCTGTGCTTAATCGTGCCCTTCTGTTGGTTTAGATTCAGATAACTGGCAGTGTGTGGGCATGGCAGGGCATCAGCGTGGTGTGTTCCTGAAGGTAGGAAGGCCTTTGGGGTAGGTTTTTCCCAAGGGCCTGGCTACTCCCTGGGATGGTGTCAAAGTAGGCGTGTGGCAGGACCAGCTGAGCATCGGATAGAGGGGTGTTAGATCAATGGGCAGGAGCACCTGTTGGCAACGGGTTGGGCACTGTGCCTGTGCTCCCTGGGTGATGGGCTCTTGTGCAAGTTCCTGGCTCACTGTGAAAGAGTTGGGTCCTGTGGGGAATGTGTGATTCCCCAGGAGAGGAAATTGGAATGGCTGAGATCCACAGTGATCTCTCTGACCCTGATGTCTCTTAAATTAAAGCCAGCTCTCTCTAATTCTGCTCCCCCAAGATTCTTTCCACACACACGCGCAGAATCCCTTTTAACTTCGGGAAAATCGGGTTTCATCT